GATGATATAATCTAGTCCCCAACCTTTATTCAAATGATACATTGAGTCCTTACACCATTTTTATTTATCAGTTTCCATCTATGTAGTTACGCACTAGTGCCCATGGACAGCATGCCTTTTTCTTTTTTTTTGTAATTGTTCATATGTGGAAACAGGCACAATATTTAAAAGGACAAACTTTTATATATAATGTTGTTATTTTTGTTGATGCATGACAAATGTGAGTTAGCATACATATATATATAATTATTCAGTTGATATGATGTATATACTTTAAACTCATTGGTGAAATAAAATTACATATGTTTAATGCCAAAATTAAAAGCTAATTTGATATTTGATGCCCCATAATTTTCAATAATCATGGAAGTTTTAGAAAAGTAGGGAAAAAATCAACTAGTATCTAGCACCGGAACTTTTAAAAGCTTGGTTCTTCAAGAAAAAATTTGCTACCTTAGACACATAGGTGCAAGAGTTTGACATCCTATTGGACTAACATGACATGGAGGTAACTTCCATTTGTATCTCACTTCCGAACTATTGTTTGGACTTGAAAACATTTAAGGCAACAATAATTAAGAAGGTCGACAGAACTCTCAATTTCACCCCATAAATAAATTAGTATGGATAAATTCATCCTTCAAAAAAATGTAGGAACAAATTGTCTCTCTAAATTAAAAATAAAAATAAATCATTTATTTTTTAATGTTTTTCATTAAAAAATACTGACATAACAAATAAAATTCTAACATTTTTTGAGTTAAAAACGGGATGATTTGTTTTTATTTATAATTTAAAATGATAATTTATCCTTGCATTTTTTTGAAAGGTGAATCTATCTCTACCAACTCTTTATGGGCGGACTTTGGGGTTTTGCCTAACAAGGTGTCAGGTGAGGACCTAAATTAACCCTGTCAGCACTCTGTAAAGATTGTCCTTCTTTAGAACTAATAGAAGATGGTACCCTCAAATTACAAAATGAGTGAAAGTTTGTATTTTTATTTGATGTTTTTACCATTAATTAATATAAGCATTTTTTTTTACGATTTTAATTAACAAAATTCTCCTAAGTTATTCTTTTACTTTTCTCTACAACAGAAGACTTAGACACAATTTATATTTTCACTTATATTATTCTTTAAAAAAATAATAATAAAGATAGACCTTTTATGATATTAAATAACAAAAAATATTATATAATTTAAATTATATCAAATTACAGAATATTAATTATTAGAATGGGGTTTTGGTTTTTAATATTGAAGCCTCCCTAAATTCCATAGTTTTTATTTTACAATTAATAATAAAGATAGACCTTTTATGATATTAAATAACAAAAAATATTATATAATTTAAATTATATCAAATTACATAATATTAATTATTAGAATGGGGTTTTGGTTTTTAATATTGAAGCCTCCCTAAATTCCATAGTTTTTATTTTACAATTCAATAGATTTTAAAATGTAAAACATGATTACTATAGAACAATGTGAGCAGCATTTTAGTTTTTTTTTTTTTTTTCTTTACAGGGTAAGTTACATTTTAGTTAAGCATTTTAGTTAGGATCCGTAACTGTCGGTCAAGGTGATTAAAGTCTGAAGAAAGATGCCTAGATCCTTAAAAGACTCGCCGGGCCCCTTGCTTTAACAGTCTTAATCCCACATTAAAATCTCAAATCAGTCAATGCTTATGTTCCCTTAACTGCATTTTACTTGTAAAATACTACACAAAATGCATGTCCAAAGTGGATGGATCAGAAGTTGGCCGGCTGTGTTCTTTTCCCTGAAGGGGATTGAGGAAACACCAAGTTACCGAGGATTCGTTGACAAAATATGGCATATGGAAGATGAAATCGATCGGGCCATGACATAATATATTGTAATAGAAAATGCAAAAATTGTATAATTATAATGTTATATAATATTATAATTAAGTTTGTAATTGTAATATGTTATTATATAATCGATTCTTTTTACTTAAAAATTTATTTGTAATATTATATATATTTGTTCATTTAATGATATGTTGTGATTGTAATTTTATAAATTTATATGATATTATAAATATATATAATATCACTATAAAAAATATAATATTATCAAGTTGGGAAAACAAATAACTTTTAACACATCATAATACAATTAAATTTAATTACTTTATGTATACCAACATAAAGTTAGATAATAATTTGCATAAAACAAGACTTAAATCTAAAACTCAAAATCTCATAACTTTCATTTTAATTACTAGATCAATACTTCATTAGTAATATAAATTTATTATATACTTATTTTTTTAGCATATAAAAAAATTATCATATTAAATTTCAAAATTTCATGCAAAGTGTTCCTTAATGTCGTAGAGCTAATCTCATTTCCACTATAACCTTATCACAATGTTCACTAACATGCCTATATGGGTGAATCTAAACATAATGACTAAAAAGATCAATAAGTAGTACGGCAAATTACACCTGTGCTCTCTAAACTTTACCTTATGCTTTAGTTGTTATCATTGGGCATGCTAGTCTCCCCTCCATTGAGTTAGAGTTTGTCCTTTTTTTTTTTTCAAGACATGTGACATTCATGCGTAATTAGTAAAAAGATCAATATATAGAACGGCAAATTACACCTGTGCCCTCTAAACTTTACCCTATGCTTTTAGTTGTTGTCAGTGAGCATGCGAGTCTCCCCTCCATTGAGTTAGAGTTTGTCTCTTTTTTTTTTTTTCAAGACATGTGACATTCATGCGTAATTATCCAGACATTGTCATGTACCTTTGTACTACTATTTACTGAATTTTTTAAAATGAAAAAAATAAAAGAAAGGAAAAGAAAAAAAAAAACCATAACTTTCATAGAAATGGCAATTTCCTCCGCGATCTACAGAATTTTGTGGATTTTTTTGCCATGAAAATAGAGATTCCAAGAATATTCTTTATTGTAGGGCGAGGATGGAGGTATTTTTTTCCCCGTGAAATTTCGTGGAGAATTTCCTTCGCCTTGTGGGGAACCGTAGAAGTCCATATAAAATAAAAAAAATTATTTATATATATTTTTAAATATATTAACAATTAATTTTTACTTACTCAATCTAATTAATTGACCAATCCTTCTTTTTTTTTTTTAATTTTTCCAAACCCAATTATATAGTCTAATCCAGCCCATAATTTTCTTAAACTTAATTACCCAAACCCAACCTAATTTGCTAGTAACCCTAGAACTAGAAGGATTATTTCAAATTTTTGAGATTTGTTAATCTACTCTGCGATTCCTCTTCTTCAGACTCCAGTCTCCTCTCATCTGCACTGTAGCTCACTAGCTTTGTTTCTGTTCTTCAATTGGTCGATTTCCTTCAACCTATCATTTTCGGCAACCTTCGAAAGGTAGTACCCATAGCTCTGTTTCTATTTTTCAATCGGTTACTTGCAACTTGCCTAAGCCTGAGTTGTGAGTATTTGTGAGTATCAGAGTATCTATGCTTGATGATTTATTTTGAGGTGAAGCAGATCTCGTTCTTTTGGTCTTATTATTTTTTATTTCATTTTCCCTCCAATTGTTCGTAAGATTATCAAAATGCAATTTTCGTTGTTTACATACCTACGCAGCTTCTTTCTCGCATTCGCAGGGAACGATAATCGTATTGTTATTTTGAGGCTCATTCAAGCTCTTAATTCATTCTATCTTCAGTTGCTTTCTCAAACGAAAAATGAGTATTGAGTTTTATTTGGTAGGGATTTCGAATATCCGCGATGACCTATTATTCCCCGCGGAGCCCTATCATTCCTTGCGGGTATGTAGACGAAGGTTATTTTTTATCTTTCGTCAAAACTCCCCGTGGAGATCCTCGTTCTTGTCATTGACAAAGATGGAGACGGGGAGGGAGTTCCTACCCCCGTGGGGACCCATTGCGATCCTTAAACTTTCATTCTAATCACTTGTCTCTTAAAATTGTACACTTTAGGTATGAAGTGCAAACTCTTAGTCATCAACCATGGCACCCCATATGGTCCAAAAACATTGTTCTCTAACCAATAGACTTTGAATGCTTTCAATATTCTTAAATAAAGTCCCAAAAACACATAAAACACATTAATATTACACACACCATTATTGGGATGGTGTCCTAATTGATAAAAGAAATTTACTTTATATTAATAACAGTCACATCAATCTTAAATAAATTTTTACTCTCTTATCTTAAGTCTAAGAGAGATAAAATAAAGGAGAGGGAAAAGTTCTTATTCATTTAATATATTGTTAAGCTAATGTCTTAATTTCATTTGACAAAAATTTTTCCTTCTCTTTCATTTCTTGTAAGATAAATATGTTTTAATTAGTTACATTATATTATTCTAAAGATGGATTAAAGTAACTCTTATATTATGTCAATGATTTTTTATTTCATTCAATGATAAAAATTATAAATTTATTGTCCTTTGATCACCTTAACATATGTATTCCATCTAAGAAAATCAAGCCCAATAATGGAAAGAAAGATTCTCCAAGCCTTGCAGTGTCAACATAGACGGGTTTGGCTCTGGCTACACCAAAAGAGATTGGCTTAGGGTTGTTTGGTTTAAAAGTTTAAAATTAATAGTTAATAGTTTTGTCTAATTGACTATTGATATTTGCTATTCTTAATAATTTAAATATTTTTATTCATTAAATTAAATAAAATCACTAATTATTAGTGTTAAATTGCTGTATCAAATAGTCCTTTAATATCACACATAAAATGTAACATGTGATACCATAATAAAAGGAAAACCAAATTCATCATCAAATTCTCATTACAAAAGCAAAATAATTTTAAGAATTAGACTATGCC